TGACTGGCTCTGAACCATTTTACGAGTATTATCAACGCCAGAGGACTGCCAACGCCCTAATATCTTTGTCAAATATTGATCAAGTTAATGATGCCGTGAAACGTGAATCCATCATTGCAACCTGGAAATCCACTAGTTTCAGCGCATAATTCTGGCAGCCCTGCACAAACCAAAGTACCGACTTATGGAAGAGCGGCTTAAACATTGAATGATGTGGGTTTCAGAGGACACAGAAGAATTCCACTTTGAACTTTCGCGAAGAAAATAAGGCAGGCCCAACAAAGCGCAGTGGCGTGTAGTCTGTCATCTTATTCGCCAGAGACCACCTGTCTATTTTGCGCAATTTTCGCTGAGCGATTAATCCTGACTTTCGAAACTCACCTAATTCATGTTTTGCTTTTCTTAAAACTAGATGCACATATTAATGATCATCATTCTATTGGAGTGCATACCAGTAGGAAATCGTGAGGATTTAATATAGCCATTTTGGGTCTAATTTATTTTTAGAATTGGCAGAAACCTCTCTAACTATGGTGGATTTCTAGTAAACCTTTAAATAAGTTTAAATGCAGACACCTCCAAATTTAGCTCAAATGATCCATCGTATTTTTGATTTAAAAAGAGGTGTCACCAAACTTTCGTGCTTAAGAGAATTTTGTAACATGAGCTAGTTCCAAAAATGAATTTTAATTTCTTTACATTGGCTTAACCTCTTGAGATAGGCACTAATAAAAATAATTCCAGATACTTTTAAAGATCATTATTTATATTAGATGTCACAAATTCTAATGACATAGATTGATTTTCGGCATTGCAATTAGTGACATACATTGGTCTGCTTTACCATTATTCGTGTGTTTAACAAACACTTTGTTTGTGCCTGTTACAACCAATTTTTTTATAATCATGCCAACCTTCTTACTTTATTGACTCACAAATTTTTATATGTTTTGGATCATATTTGCAATCGAATTCGCCAAAATTATGTACAACTAGGCTACTACAGATGTTGCTGCAAACCATTAATGCAAGCATTTAAGCACTCGACTCAGCATATAATTTATTGTACCTGTATTAGTAAAAATGCCCGTCCTCAGGTTGCATTTGAGGAGGGTTGGACATTAAACATAAAATATGACAGAGATAAAAATATGAGTACAGTTTAATTTGGTCAATGAATATTATAAGTATATTTTTGGTGTTAAAATTTGGCATCAAAATTATGCTTTTTAGAAATAACTGAGGCCAGAAGTTATTGTAGAACATTAATAATTATTGCATTTTAAATTTTGTCACCTATTCCTTTTTAGAGTTTTGCTAATGTAATGAACATAGTTTATAAAGGTCTGCATGATTTGACAACACTGAACAAAAGTGACACACCTCTTTGTAAATCTACGCAAAATTTTATTTGTCTGTAAAGTTTTAATCTGTGAATTTTGGGAAAACTTATTTAAAATTGCAATATTTAAGCAGGCATTCACGCTACAATTATTTCAAATGCCGAAATCTATAACAAAGTTCCTAGAGAGGAAAACATATATGCCTTAAAGTAATTTTCTCCCAAGTGCACTTAATTAAGATTTCAGCAATTTCAAATTTGATGAAATTAATTGGAATGATGCACCAACCACGAAGTCATTTTGTTTAAAAAAACTTAACTACATGTAAATGTAGCAGTTAAATTAATTTGTTCCAAAATCCAAGTTCTGCATTCTGCGTTATTTTAATCCGGAATTACAAGTGACTGCAAAAATCGCTGCCGTAGGAGAATGGTGAATATGCTATATTTGTATTGTGATTTATGCAGTATCAAATAAAACACGAACAGTAGTTTTAACAAAGTCAGGTTTGAATTATCAAAATACGATCTATAAGCTTTTCATTTACCTATTTGTTGAAGTTTGATGAGAGATAAAAAAACCTAGCAGCTAACATAATCTTCCGCAGTGTTTCAATTTTGGGTGAAACCCTTTCAAGACTATATTATAGGTAGGTGCACTTTTCTCGATTCCATGGACATCAATTGAGGATCTTCTCGAGATCTTTTCAAGATTATCAAAACAGAATCATTATACATTCAAATGATAGTGACTAGATGTCTTAACCTACTCAGGATATTTCCTTTCAAAGCAAATGTCATTATTTACTGCTTTAAAGGATTGTGTTTTTATTGTAACTGAATCGAGATTCAAACTTGAATTCGTTTTAATTAATTGGATTGCAGGGAGACAAATTCGTACTGCTTAAAGGTTGGTCCATTTTTCATATATCAAACCTTTTCCCTCAAAAGTCCGTTTGTAATAGGCTGGATATGATGCATAATACATTTGTTGAGGATATCCATCCAGTAAATTCTCTGATATTTTAATTACACTAAATGGGTTAATTAGTCTAGCTCCCATTATGTGCCTTAGACCTCGTCACGAGTGCCAGATATTACATTTCGTGTCTTTCCGTTGCCGTATTTTCTATATCTATGTCCACTTGCAAGTACCATCGCGCTTAGGGAATCGGTTCATTGCAAGACTGAAATTAACAGCATTGTAACGTTCTTTTACGAGATGTCTGTTGAACTTTGTAAACTTTTCAGTATAGTATTGGTGTTCTCTAAAACTTATATTCATCCATGCTGGTTTTCATGTACCAGGATTTGCACCCCAGTTTTGTCAATTAAATTGGTAGATACTCTGAACTGGTGGCTTTAAGTTATTTACGTTTATAATTTTGCCTGAGTTAAAGCGACGCACGATTTACCGCAAACATGGTCACATTTGCTAACCTGTTGACACATCTATGGTTCTCCCGAATTTTGAACGATTTTTATTGAACCTTCTTGAAATCCTGTAACAAATGTTAAACAGCGTGTGTGTTAACAATTTTACTTCTAGTTTCGTACCTATTGTATCTGGTATAAGTGCAATATTGTTGAATATATGTTGCTTATATTTATTTGTTGTATTAGGTTTATGTTGAATCCAATTCACATGGCGGCGTTTTGTACCAAGTTCTTATTTTATTTGAATTGACATTTGGAATAACGTGAAAACTCAAAATACTTGCTTTTCCGTTCACAATGCAGTTGACTACATGTGTGTATTCGCCAAGTCATATCACTTATTATAGTTAAGAATGTCTTTTTTTGTTCGCACTTTGTTGTATGATTTGGCAAGTAGCTAGTTCTTTGTACGTATGGACCTCTATTCCCCACTTTTGAATCGATTTTCATCACTGATGAACTAGCTTGCTATGAAATCATCCCACGTACGTCTTCTTCTTCGCAGACAATGGCGGAAGAGACTGGTGGGACAACGATGTTTTTGTTTGGTCAGCAATCGGAGAGCCCTGACACAGTGTTGCATCGCTTCCAGCGCCTAATTTGTCTTGAACAAGAGGAAGAAAATAAAAAATCTGGAAAGGAAACCCGAGGAGGTGGCTGGACAATGCGTCTAACCGGTTCAATGCATAGTTTACAAGAGGCAAAGAAGTCTCTTGAACAACTAAGCACACGTCATCAAAAGCTACAGAGGGAAATTGGGTCGCTTGCAAATGAGCTGAAACAACTTCGCGATCAGCGAGTAAAAATCTTTTCATTCGTTATTTATACTTTTCTTTGCCAGAAAGATGCGTAGGGACTACTTGGCTCTGTAATGTCACTCTCGTATTTAGTAAAAACTGTTGGGTAAAGAAAGTCAAGAAGCTACGGAATGGGTGCTGGATGTGTGTCATTTAGACTCCGAGCGCTTACCATTCCTCAAGTAGGTACGTGTAATTGGTAATGCATAATTAAGTCAAAGGTGTAAGCAGTAAAAACGGAAAACTGTGTTCCCCCCTAATAAAGTTTCTTGAATCATGTCAAAATTGAATGGTTTTCTTCAAGTTCGTGGAAAGTATGTGAAGTGTGTGGCTACCCTCCTATCGCGTAAGCCTACGTGCTTGTAGATCCGACCTCCATCAGGTTAAATATCTCATAATTTAAATGGGTTCAGCACTCGAGGATTTCGCTGTATTTCTGGTTATTGCCAAAGCTGACGGATACCTTGCACATCGTACATGCACCTTACACATTGTATCAATACTGACTGACACCTTACGCTATTTCTTGATATGACATACAATGATTCTTTGTCCTACCATGTTTACTTTTAAGTGAGTTCTTGGCTACGAAGAGCACGCCAAACGCACGTAATGAATCTGTTCGTATTGTATCAAGGACACTACTGAAATTAACAGTGCAGGTGACTCATTTGGATGAAAAGTCTAGTGCGATATGCAAGTTTTGTGAGCACTCGACGCAACCTGCGTCACATTGCCCCTTGCCGCACTCGCCTAACATTCATAATGTCTTGCTTTCGTTTAAAATCCCACTGTCCTTGATCTTGTAGGATGCACTCCGTGATGAGTTAGACTTGCTCACTCGGCAAACTTCGGACACATATACTCAAAACACCGCTGTGGAGGCAGAAATCCAACGTCTACAGGGTCGCGTATCCGTCTACGAGAAGGCCTTCGGCCTGCAAATTAAACGAACTAAGAATCATGGAAACATTCAGGTGGTCATGCGCGGCTGTTCGCCGGAGAACTACGACCTCCCAAGCTGCCTAATTCTGAAACCAGTCCCTGAAGAGACAGGCGGCCAGCTTGAGCTGGTTAGGTGCAACCCCCCCATCCCTGACATTGACAGACTTCTCAACCTTTTTAATCAGACTGGAGACTTTCGTAGTTTCCTCCTTGTTGTCAGGAGCAGGTTTCTCAAATATTTTCAGCTTCAGAAAAAATGAACCTGTCCCCTCGCCCTCCTCAGATTATTTTGTTTACGTTTGTAATAAAATACAAGCTTTCTCCAGTAGTATCGGTGATTACTGTGAGGGTCCATCCGTGACTGGTTAAACATTTCTGAATTTTTAATTTAACCGAAACCACGCGTGCACATTCAGTTGTCACAAAATTAGCTCAAAAGATGCGGAGAAATGGGTTTAATTACGTGATTAGTGCTGAGTGCCGGTTAAGACAACTGTTCGTGATGGTCGGTTGTCCATGGATCCGACTCATGATTTGCTAATACATTACAGCTGTCCCATTTCTGAGCGTGCAATGTAGATGTGTTTTGGAGCTATGACGATGAGTCATATTACAAAAGGGCCCTGAGGCAGTGCATCTTTTGGTCCGGTTGGCTATCTCTGGCAAATGTCTAAAGTAACCCTTAATCAGAACTATAGGCGGAGGAGAAGTAAAAGAGTGGGTGGATTAATGCATTGTGCGAGAATACCAAATAGAAATGAACAATTAAAAGTACTTTATACATCAGCATTGCGGCGAAGCGTAGCCAGCTAGAGGTTTAAGAACTACGGGTGTACTTGCCCCAGAAGTGCAACAGAAAGACAGAAACAATGAAGCACAGACACATGACAAGTACGGGTACTGGACCAATTTTGATGCCCGGGGAGTCTTCCGAGTAAAAAAGAAAGACTGGGCTTTTTGGAGTCGCGGTGGTCAGTGGACGCCTTGAAGGTGCTGCTGTAGACTAGAAAGTAGAAATGTAGCCGTCTATTCACGCTGTTAATTAAGTTTTGTCGAAATAGAAAAACGGTAAAATCTTACCCTTCTTTGACGGGCGCCTCCATTTCCTCCCCTTGATCCGGACCCAATGCTGGAAGCGGGTTTACCACTTCCGTTTGCCTAAAAAACACCAAGCCTGATCTTTAGAGAGAAAGGCTGGCAGAATCATGGGCCTCTGATTAACCGAGTGCACTACACATTTTCCACTGATCCCAAAGATTCGAATTTGTTTACAGCGTTAGGGAAAAAATAATTAAAAATGGGAATTAACACAGGTGTGGTGGTAGGCATGGGGTAGGTGGTAACGACCTTGCCAAAATCCCGTGTCGGTTTAGGACAACATAGTGAAAAATGATTAACAACCTAGTTTTCGTGAATGCCCTGCATACGACATATAACACATTATCAAACGAGAGTCGCACCAATGTGCGAAACTTGACGTGGGAGTTGACGTGTGTGTGCAAGGGGTCCTACACAGATGTATTGCAAAAGCAACTACATATATATTTACTAAATTCGGCGGTAGTAATCAGGAGAAAGCGATTGTGTTACTTATTCGGAAAGCACCCATAATGTATAAATAAATTTGAGACACAAACGACGTCAACCGCCAACTCACCATTTCGTGTACGAACGATCAATTAAATGCAGACGCTATTAGCACAGTAAAAGAAAGCCTACATTGTTGTCTTTGGAGGCTTGAAAAATAGGCTCACCACAATCGATAACAAAATCGATCTAGCAGATTATTCACAGATTAAAATCATACAAGTTTATTTAATTTTTTTTCCTGCACTATGAAACCGTGTATCCTTTAATCTTTATCGTGATTTTTTCCCTATATAGTCATTAAAACATTTTCTATATGTTGTCTAATATTAATAAGATTGAAAATTAATAATGCATAGTAATATCTAGGAATTTTAGGGAACCTATTAAAATAAATTAGGATATTTAGGTTTTATGGTATTGACTTTTAGACTTCAACAACTGATTTTGTTTCCTATGGAGCTATCAGTTAAATATCAGCAGATTTTTTTCGAATGATTTAGATATAAGGTATTTTGTGCATGGGCTTCTTAATCAAATCCAACTTCTTGTTCTTGGCACTTGACCATCAAATTTTCTAGCATTAATTTAACATTTATTGGCATCGACTATTCACAGTTTAGCCCTTGAGGTTGCAAAGCTAAATAAATTTATCGACAAAATCAATTTCAACAGATTTATTTAATTTTATACCATGGTATGGCATAAGACTATAAGTTTGCAAGACAACTTTGACTGCATTTTTTTCTTTTCAACATCTCATTACCTGCGATTTATTGACAGATTTAGCAGTAGATTGGTTTTTTGACTTCTTCGCTTAGCTCATTTTTTTACTTTAATACCACCCATTTAGCGGGCACTTTTTTCACTGTCCTCCAACAACTAAAAATTCACCTGGATCTATAACCGGTAGCTTTTGCATTTACTTTGTACAAATAACATTAGTTAAATTTGTTACTAAAATGCATGCATGAATACATTGGGTTCGGAGTAGTCGATTTAAATAAATTTAGTTGGTAACTTAATGTCGGCACTGGTTTCCTCACCTCTTCAATTAATTCGCCATTATTCCCACGCAAACCATGGCTTTGATCAGTCACCTTGGCATGCTTTCAATGAAGGAACTCCTAAACGCAAATAATTCTCGGGGTCTTAACCAAAACAGCTAAACGACCTGTCTTGTATCTTTTCTCTGACTGCTGATTTCCTTATTATTGTGGTACTGCGAGAAAACACTGACTGGTAACATTATCTATATACCAAACTTTGAAACCCACGATCTAGCACGCACGCCTTGTTTTCAAACAAAATAAATCCCTATCCGGAACTTCCATATTTCTACATAACAAACATTCCAATATTATACAACATACCTATGCAGCAAGTATGTAGAGAAAAATTACTCACTACCCTGGAAGTACGCAGGCTTTGCTCGTCCAGTGAGCGAAATGCAAGTGACGCTCAGTGGGATCAAAAGTTAAGCAGTGGGTAAATAAATATTAACAGGATAAGTGCTTTACTTTATTTCTTGTGAACAATGTGTAACCTAATGACTGCAAAGTTCTGTTAGATAAACAGCATATGCACCAAATTTTAGCCTTACATTTTCAAAGCCCGAATACGGTTTATGCGAAATGTGAGTAATTTTTGAACTCAGATGATTTCGTCTTTTGAATTTTTAGGTTGTTTTATGGCTGTCGACATATAATGCTGCTAAATTTACTTATTTAATACCTTCGAAAGGCTCGTCCTTGACAACAAATTATCTAAACTGAACAAGGCGAGAGATTTCTCTTTCATTTCCCCCAGAAACGAGCCAGTGCGTTTAATTTTATAAGGTCGACGACTCAGTTCTTTGCCAAATATGGGCCAAATACTTACTGGCAAACACTAGGGAAATAGAAGTATTCAAACCTCTGACACAGGGTCAGGGAAATTTGCGAAAGCGGCTAATATAACCCATAACTGTGTCCTCCAATAAGTAGTAAATCCAACTATTTCCCCCGATGTAGAAGCAAATGCGAATTATTTGGGCATTAAAATATTGTGAGAGCTAATTATTAACTTCTCATTGGAATGGACGAGATATCTTGTGATCGTTAGCCATGTTTTTCACTACTTCTCCACTGATCCAGTCGGTTTAGGAAACAGTCAGCCCCACGATGGTGCCATCATCGCTCCGATGACCAAGCACGAGCCAGCAAATACCCATCAAGTTACCCACAGGCTTTCAAGCTGTCCAATGTGCCTTTGGGAAACAAGATGTCTGCAAGCAACTTGGTTGAAGATGGCCCTAAACGCTTTTTTAAGACTGGACCTTATCCAAACTTACCACTAAAGAGTTGGCACACTAGGATACGCACCTAAAACTGTTGTTTTTACTCCATTCGGATTATTTGGTTTATCTAAAACAGGTCAAAATTTTCCAAGATTCTTAGACCAAGTTCTGCGTGGCATTGATTTCTTCATTGACTATACTTATGATATTTTCAGTATCAGCAAAGGCAAAGACGAACATCTGCTTTATGTATGGCAGGCTTTCAGTCGTCCTAAAGCCTGGCATATTAAACTAAGTCCGCAAAAATTTGGCTTTGAAGTGGTCATAGTTGAGGTTCTCAGACACCACATGGATGTAGACGGTGCTAGACCTCTGACTGAGAATACAGAAGTGGTCCGAGAGTATCCAATGCTTTTATCGATGTAGCTTGGTCAATTAATATCTTCGGTTCATTCTGCATGTTGCTGATATCTTGCCTCCATTGGGTGACTTGCTTCAATAGAACTCCAAGAAGCTGATGCACACTAAGGAGGCTGGAACAATGTATCAAACCTATAGGGGATGCCATAGCAAATTTGATGAAAGAGCACTACTGAAAGGAGGAAATAACTTTTTCTTGAGAATGGATGCTTCCCGAACCGCGGTCGGTGCAGTCCTGCGCCAAGAGCTAGACTGTCATTTTGAGAAACTGTCGTTCTTTTTCCGAAAGCTTTAGCTGGCTCAGGCAAGTTACAGCACATTATAAAAAGAACAATTAGCGATTTACCTTCCTGTAAAACAATTTTGCCGCCTACTGGTAGGACGTGAGTTTACCATTTTTACTTATCACAAGCCCTTCGTTCATGCTTACCTCGTAGTGTCTGACCGGTATTCCAGCTGTTTTGACTGTTTTGCAATTTACAACCACTATTCGACATATTGATGGAATTGATAAAGTTGTGGTCGACGCCCTCTTTCGAGCACATATTAATCATTTGTCAGTTCTTAGTATCGATGTTGGACAGTTTGCTGCAGCTCAGGAAAATTGCAAAGTATTACGACACTGTGGTCAAAATTTTCGGCTGTTAGTAGAGGACCTGCAACTCTCCCACTGTTCCACGAAAATTATGTGCCTAATTTAAGTCGCAAATATTTGAGCGACCTTACTCGAATTCACATCCTGGCATTCAATCTATTGTGAGTTTAATGACAAACAGTTATTTTGGCTTTGTGTTCGCAGAAATGTTCGTTTATGGACCAAACTCTCTCAATTAAAGGTCAGCACAGCAAAGTTCACCGGCGCAATATATTTCAACGAGGACCTTTTCCTTTCCCAGACTCGCGTTTCCATCATGAAAAGTTCGCCTTAGTTGGATCCCTTCGGCCGTCTTGTGGATTCAACTGTGTGGTTCATTCTACCTGTTGACCGATAGCAAGTTCCATCAAAGACAGTGTGGCCGAAACTGTTGCGTCATTCAGTATTCCCAGTTAACGTACATCTAATCACGGTGCAAAATTCATGCCCCTTTTGTTTCAGGATCTAAACCGCCATCTTAGATACAAGCATTTTCGAATTACAGCCTACCAACCAGCACCTAATGGTTTATTTGAGCATTGGTACCATTATTTGAAATCGTCTACTACTGCAAAAACTGCATCCACAAATTTTTCGAACGCATTGCTATTTATCTTTACCGTGAAAGAAGACATAAACTCTACTCTTACAGAACCCGCGTTTGGTAAAACTTTACACCTGCCAGGTGACATAATCAGAGTTTCAGAATCTGTTCTTCATCGTACGTTGATCAGTTAGAATGCTTCTAGAAGGAAATTTGACCAAATCCAACAAGTTTTCTCACAACAACCACATATTAATACGGATTTTTAACAGTAAATAACCTAAATACTTTGGTGTCTGAAAACAAGCAAAAAAGCTTCTTAGCTAAGAAGCATCTGGTTGAAAATGACTGCGCTTTTTCTGACAAATTTCAAGAGCTGACTGACGAAATCACAAAAATTTTGATCAGCAATTAGAATTGCTTCCAACGCCACAATTAAAGCCTATAGAAATGGAATTTCATTTTGAAAAAATGAAGTAAGCTCGAAGACAGAATCGAAACGCGTTTGTCTTTAACGTGCATCTTAGACTAAGAATCTAGTAGTTAAGGATGCGGCCGAACAAATGTAGAAATGCTAGAAAAAATATACCGAATGGGTGATTCACAGGAAAATCCCTCTCGCCAAACGCCATTAGTAATTTGTCCTATGGAACACGAGGACAGTAACTAATCACTTCATACATGCCCAAATTAAATACGAAAAAGTAACCATAACCTAGTTATTTTGCAACGGCGCATGTTCGTTTACAATCTTTGTAGTTTATATGCAGACAAAACAACTTTTGTTTCCTATCTTAAAACCTTTTTGTAAATGGCATCGATTCCGGTCACTCCAGCCTCCGACACAGGGTCCCCCTTTTCACAGCACGTCACCAGTCGCGCGGGGCCTCAACTCCCCCCTCATTAGCACGATCGATTAGCCTAGATTATCCTCACACCTAGGTCTCGATGTCAGCACATCTGACTCACATATCTGAGGTATAAGACACACGCGCCAACGCCACACACGATACAAAATTACTAACTTGGTTGAGCTCTGAATTAAACGCTTGTGTCCACGTCCTCTCCGGTCTTCTTCGTCATCGCAGGTAGCATGATCGGGCCAGACCTAACTAAGTGGCCTTGGTGTGGTTCGAGACCACATGCTGGGGACCACAACAGCCTCCTTTAATAACAGACATTCTTAGAAAACTTCTGCACTTAAAAAGGTTTAAAATTACTTAATGATATAAACTGACACTTATCGAATTCGCTTGTACATCAGATACTTGCTGATCTCCGGAAGAAGCAATAGACTCGAAAGCTGTAGCATTTTGGCCACCTTCACCCAACCCAGAACGAAAGCCTTTTGGCCCTCGACTGTGTTTGCTTAGCACCTCACATCTTTTAAGTATCTTTAATGGTTATTTAGTGATATTGGATGCATGTAACTTGAGAATGTATAAACAGAAAAATTATGCTTTAAAAGATGATGAAAATGTTATTGCTGAGCAAATAGTACCAGGGTGGCATGTCAAGTTGCTGTTAATATGGTGACTTTAACCCAACAATAAAAATATGTAGTGTCGTAAAGTGTTAAGCCAACGAAAGCAACAGGAAATGATAGCAGAATAAACAAAAATAAGGAGAGAAGCAAGTAAATTTCCTAAGGAAAGACAGAAAAGACATTCGAAACTTGTTATTGCAAGTTTAATCAATAAAACCCCGACCGTTTTATTTATTTTTTTATAAGTCAACGAGGATGAGTGCTGGGTTAAAATGCTGGGTTGTGAATACTAAAACGCCTAAAATGAAACTGATTAAGATTATGCGATTTTACGTTCTTTTGAGGTTTAATATTTGTGTGATTAATTGCTACAGTTGGATTCATGCTCGCTGAAAGATGGCATAACAAATAAAATATCCGTTTTTCTAGGTTTACTGCCACTGGTCTCATTCACTCAGAAACGTGAATGGCATCACATGATTCGGACGATTTTTACACGCCTAATCAAAATACAATCTGATTTAACTCACGCTCCCTTAAAACCGCCTATAAATTAAAATTGTAACTTGATTTGACTAAAGCTTTCTAATATTGAAGAATCGGAGACGTTATGGCCCTCAACGTGGACAGTGAACAGGCTTAATTCAAGAAAGCTTCTCAAACCTTACTTGGCACAATTTCTTGCTGACCCCACTGCTTCCAATTCGCTTTTCAATTTAACTTAGATCTTCTTTACTCAACCTAAGAATGCAAACTGCTTTCGCTAATTTAAGAAAAAATCAAACAAACAAGTACACTCATTTCTCATTGTCAATGTGAAAATTCAAATTTTAAATTGACGCATGTGAGAAAAGGTTGTTGGAATCACTACGCGGACAGCCACTAAAGTGTGGATTGATTTAACAAAATGTGAGTTGGCATGTTAGTTTGGGGATGTTCGTCAATCGTAAAGGACCAACACGTCTTCGACCCAGGCTAGTAAAGCAAGTCACCCATGGAACCTAAAAAAATAAAAAAACGACGTGGTTGTTTTAAAAGATACTATGGTAAAACTTGCTTATTCCGACCTGCAAGTTGATTTTTAAAATAAACGTCTGAATGGTCACTTGATTGCTTCATCAGAAAATTTACAAATGTACAAATGCCGGTTCCCTCAAATGGATTTAGAGATGCCAATAGCATGTTCGCAACCCACCCTGTTGATTGTTCGCGAGATTTGTATTTGCCGGGTTAGTTGACGGAGCTTCCTCCTCCTCCTCCCCTAAACCTTCCTCATTTTCAAGTAAATCCAGTCGATCTTCTGAGCCTTTTCCTCCACCGATGCCACATTGATTAACGGCGTGGGCAACAGCTGAGACGACGTTTGAGTGCACGAGATGCTGTGGGACACTGAATGCGACCTTCGGCATTGTGAAGTTGGACGGTATTTCTTTTGTGGTGTCAATGTCTTCATTTGAAAAAAAGACGGTATTTTGGAAAAGTGGGTTACTTTTAAGGCCGTTTTGCGGAGTGAGGCGAGAATTGTGAACACAACGCTGAAAGATTCCACGGAAGTGGGAACGATGATGAAGGTTCTGACACTTGTGGCGACAACGGGACCAAATTACCGCACCCAAACACGTAACGAAGATAAGAAGCGCAACAACAATAGTAATCACTTGGGCAGGCAATCCAAACTAAAAAGGGATCAAGCGTAAGACCACAAAGTAACCAGGGTACACTTGGGTAAATGCACGCATATGCATAATTTTGACGTTCCAACTAGTGCAACACCAAAGGACCGCCAAATTGTCAGGCCCTTAAGCTATTACCAGAAACTCCTTATTGAAAGGGTCCATTTTCACACTTTAGTACAGTCGATTAGGCCACAAACATCACAGAAGCTATAACTAAGTGTGCCAGGTGTAGAGGGACACATTTCACGTCCATTTACGTATATTTAAGTCATTTGGGGATTTTAGTGAGTCTTCGTTTATCCCGCAAGGGAACTAGAACAGGATAAACCGGATGGAGGCAGATTGCAGACAAACACCTAAGGAAATCACACTACCAGCGATTGTTCGGCAGCCGCTGTCGATTATAAATGGTACAAGGATTTGTGTGAAAAAGTCCAATCACAGTGTGGAATACGAATGTTTCCTCTATAAGTTACTTCCGATTCTCCGGACAAATTTACGAAAAATTGGAATTTTTTTCGAATTTGGCGTTATTTAAGCAAACGTGGAGGAAACAACTAACAGCCTTGCGTTTGGGTGGGCAGTGCAGCGTTCGATCTTCGAATGACTGGTTCGAGAGAGGAGGTTGCCAGCCGCCTTCGCAGCGGTCTCCGGGGATCCGACGATAACCGACCATCTCCATCAAATGATCTGACACCTCCTGTCCCACCAAATCACAGATATCAAGGGGAGGTGCATGGGGATTCACAACGCATTTGCCTCCACCACCGAACTCCCGCCAGTAACCGTATTCACTGAAATGTGCATCAAGTAGTAAACTTTTACTCGATAGACTGCAAATGAGTTCAATCATCAGAAAGTTGAGAAAGCATCTACCAAATAGCAGCATTTACTTTCGGTACTTGGGCAAGTGGTAACTCACAAATATAGGTCTATAAATAGCTAGACTGGCTGGAAAATATAGTGCACTATTCGTGCTTCTAAAAGACAAACAAATATTTATACTTATGCCGTGACACATGAAAACTGTATTAAAGACTCTAAAAGACTAATCAGTGACTCTAGTTCAAAGCAACTGGACAAAATATATCCGCTTTTGCAGCACATGCAGACTTACCATTCATAATCAAGTTCAGTGCAGGCACAAATTTCGTAGGACTGGGGAATCCGAAACTCGACGTTAGAGAAACACCTGGAAAAGTTAACAGCAGGGTTGAGCTACGACAGTGCTTTACGGACATTTTGTTGAAAGATTGAGGTAACGTGACTGCAGTGTGCCAGTGCCACAATAAGCGATACTCCCTGTCCGTACTTTGACCCTCTGATTCTGTCATTATTGCCGTTCAGACCATTGAAATCGAGATACATCCCTATTGCAAAGTTGACTGTTGCGATTCAGAAAACCCGCGAAGCAACGTTCAGGAAATAGCGAATTAGATGCACAAGCAGAAGCACAAACATACCGAAATTTCAACAATTAACAACATGTGAATTTATGAAGAACTCAGATCTTGCAAGATGTGCAAAGAATAAAAAGCGAGATCGAAGTGGGTAAATTGCGATATTCGTAGATACATTTACGACAAAAATATCGATTTAAGATGGTTGCGGTGGTAACAGAAGTGCGTCAATGGTGAACGAAGTGCTAGTAGATAGAATAGGACACCCTGGGAAATGATATTATTGTGTGGGGCACTCAAACTGCTTAAAGAGATGCCAACTCATAAATTGCCCCAAGCAGCTGTGGAAGTCTCGGACAGCTTTGTCATGTAACGTCTCTCCTGCCTTGTCCAATTTCTCAGACCATGTCCAACAGATCATAACCACCTAGGTGACAGGTTTTGAGATAAAAGCTCATTTGAAGGACTTTACTGCAGATGTCGTTTCACGGTGAACACAATGTCAAGCACGAAGTCGAGGTTATCTTCATTTCTCTCTTGCTGTTACACACACGTGAAATGAAAACAGACTGGAAAATAGATTTGAAAGTGGGCACCTCTTAAGCCCCTCCCTCTTTAACTTGAGGGGGCATTAATGGCCCCTTGTGAGACCAGACGGATTTCAAGACTATTTTCCACATTTCCCATTGAATAGGTCACCGCTTTGATATTTATGCATAAACGGCCATAAAGCACAATGCCAATACAACGGTCAAGCCTTCCTGAGTCTACACGATCTGGAAAAAATCACGGTGTGACAACTTCTTAAGTTAACAAGAGCCGTAGACTTGGGAGCCCGCAATGATCATGTCCTCAGCTACCAGGGTCACCAGAAAAGCTGTTTTGAAGATGAGAATTCAGAAATTTGGCAAAACTGGGTCTTTGGACCGCCAATTTACTAGTATCGACTAAGCCTTTGTATTAGACCGGGCCACAATTAATTAATTTTCTGGATCACACTTAAAAACCTGATATACATATTACTTCAAACTCGTGGTATTTAAGAACTACCAAGCTTGAAGAATTTCAATGAGGTTAGGATTAGGGTTGGACCACAACAATAATGCATTATTAATAGGACAAGAAGTTTGACTCCGGTCGACGTTGCATGCGTTTGCGCTGAAATATAAATATTAGTAAGTTGTCCAGAGATGGAACTGATCCGTGGTGGATTAGGCTGTCAAGGAAATAATTTGATGGATTTTGAGGAACGTACTATTGGAAATTCCTGGTGAAATTCCCTACTTTTGAGAAGCACATATGCATGGCGTCATGAGCTTCGAAGTGGGCTGCACGACAGTTTGTCAGAAGGCGAGAATGGGCGGACCAGGTGATCAGACGCACAAGCGCACACGCGACCTCGGGTCCCGTCAACGCACACCCAGACGCCCCGCTCCCCCGATCTTGCCGTCCCCATCACTCGCGCTGACGCGTTTAATCATGCGGCCGTCCCAACCACTCAGCACGCATCGCGCCACCCTTGAAGGTACACACTTAACAGGGATTGGCCTATCTAACAGACAAATGTGCCCCCGTCGCCTCTGGTCTCCTTAACCTTCTTGGCTGTCTGAATAATATTGGGCCTAGGCCTCCTGCTTTAATCGTGTTAATAATAGCAGGCGTGCTTTGGTTTAAATCAAGATTAAGTGTAAAATATGCTATCACTGACTCACAATCACAAGTTTTATTTTCAGTTAATAATAAATCCGGTGAAAGTTTTAAAAAAAGCTATAGGAAACCCATCTATACACGAATATCGATATGATCAACACAAACCGATGGCCATTATGTTAGTGAAACTGAAACATTCTCTGAGCCATCCAATCAAATATGGGTTTCTAAAGAACTGAACTTGAACTGTTTCAATTTCGGATTCGCAGCATTAATTCCAGTGCTTTTCTACGGGAAATAGAAGTACTGTTGTAACCGTATATATCCCACTGAAAAAAACACGTAACATCCTGTCCCTAAAGACCAACTATAATTATGCGAGATTTCTCTTGATGGTTTGGAGTTTGAAAACAGTCTTGTTTATAAGATATGGAAGTACACGTGTACCACGAGCCGAACGAATATACAGTAAACAATTTTGGAAGTTATGTAAAGAATGCCTAACATACTTCACGAGTTGGCGTTTCGTAATTTAATAAATACAATGTTCCAAAGTATAATTAAAGCTTCCAGGTTGCGCTTGACTTGGATTACCGACAGGGAGTTTAGTCGTAAGATCTTCAAGTCGGTCGAGGTGACAACTACACCTAGTTGGTTGAATGGTGTGAAGGGCGTTTATTTCCTTCATTTCTCTTGCCAAAAGGTAGTAGTTCAAGGAAAGCTTACAGGGAGTCCTCTTTCAGGCGATAAGAAACCTCCTTCACTCCAAGTAGACAACCGTCGTTCGCATGTCCACTGCCCGCGTCCGTCTGATGCGGGTACCACAGCTCATAGTCGTCGATCGAACCTCAAGTAAAAACGAGTAAGACGAATTTACTTGGAGAACCATTGCTCGAAAGCGTCAGGCAGACTGTCAATGAAATTAATTCGCACTGAAGCCATAATTTGGGGAAAAAATCACCATTTTTGCCTTCAGCTGACTACAAACTATATAACCACAAAGAATGTGATGAAAGTTCACATTGTTAGGTGTTTACACAGTGCTTTTACTAAGTAAAATAGCTTTAACACTTCTTACACGCATGTGATCTTGAAAAAACACAAGAAAGTCATTCAGAAGGCACATACTAAATTCAAATGCAGATAAATAGGCATGAAAACACAAACAATGTAGTCGACTCTGCGCTTAATCATATATTTTTCGCTAAAGTAGCATATGCTAGGCTGAAAAGGAGCCCCACAATCAGAGATGTTGGGTTTTTCACTGTGATAAGGACTTGGAGACCAGTGGACCCGGATAACTTCATACGTATCCAACACAAATCCCTCATGCCAACCCTACTTGACAATTTATAACGGCGTTAATTTGGCATGCATGTGAACACGAATTTGTGTTCTAGAAACATAAACATTGATACGTCTGTGGTGGACCCAAGTGGCCAGGGTATAAACAACGCAACGGCGGTCACGACCCTGTGGTACAGAAACGGACACAAATTCACACGTGGACCGATCAGCATTTGTTTATTTCCTTGAATGTACTCTAGATTGAGCTGACAAAGCGGATTTTTAAAACGCGCTATCTGCAACACTTACATTCTCCCATTCATAATGGCTATATTTTTAAGCTAGCATGTCAATCATACCATGTCTTCAAGTTGTAACGAATATTTACATTTACTAATAGATATATCAACTAAATAATGGTGCGTTTATGCAAGCGAAAAGTAAAAGTAAGGGTTCTGGTATCATTAAAGCCGGTAGTAACTTCATCAAGTAGAAGATTTGTGTCTTTAACTAGCAAATTTTATACGCTGTCACCAAAAATAGTAAAGGAAAATTTAGCAACTTGATCCGCAGGAAGTAGTTACCTAGGTGAAATTACATCTAGAGACATTTAACTACCGCTTGGTCGGCTTTATAACTCATTGTATTCACTGGTGTACCTAAGTGGAATCATTTACCTATTAATGCAGCCTAAGTAAAACAGGTTAAATATGTCAAGAGAAGCGATGCGTTTCCAAGTGAATTTCTAATCACCTCATTTCTCGATAAAAATTTTTCGGAGCCAGATTGACACGTGTGCTCTGCGAAATTTCCAGCTTAGTCGAACAGTACAAATCTGTTAGAGTTCTTTTATGTTGTTCATACTGGACATAAAGAGTATTTCTAAAGTGGCCTGTAGTGACGCAACTTGATTTGAACATAACAGTGAGTCTGCCAGAAATGTTCTGCAGGATGCGCATGTATACATCGCCTAACCAAATATTCCGCCCTGTATTTCGTTAGGCCTCATGCATTACGAGGAAAACCAAAAATGTGAGCTTATTCCTTTTCCCAAAATTGCCACGTGACACGACACCTGGCGTGCGCTGTAACAGATTACGCTCTGTGTTGTACTGTCGCGGTGCATTTACTATGCCGATAGGAAAACAAGGCACCAAATTGCATAAACAAAGCTGCAATTAAGCAAGTTACCTGTTGCATCACACTAGCCTTCGAGCACAAAATAAGTGAGTCTTGACAGGTCTGGAGCTTAGACAGAATACCAGTCCTTCGGGTCTTAATCATCACCACATACCAATTACATGTGAACTCGAATAGCACACACTATGTGCTTGCTGAAAGTTGGACGGAAAAGCAACATTTAAAAGCAGCCTCGAAGTCCTACTATTATTATGAAAAAAAGGTACACTTTGTGAGTTGCCCAAACCCGGCCAATGGCTACGCACTCTTTTGACAGTCCCGAAATCAACTGAGGCAAGCAAACAGGTTAGGAGAGATTAGGCTACCACTGAAAGCCACGAGGATGCACACGCTTGTTAGGCTACCTTTCATAAAGGCCACTTTAAAGTCTGGGGAGTTGTTCGCTGATAAAAATAAAAAGACAAAAAAGCAAATGTCAGTGGAACTAAATGTTTTGCCGTATTCACTGCGCTTGAGTCATCAGTCCCCACCAAGGGCAATGCAGCATTTTAAACTTGGTATGATCAACCGTACGTCTGAGGACAGACCTCAGTGCAGTAGAGTTAGCATCGAATTAAAATCTTACAGTTCTTCGTAATGAAGCCATTGTTGGCAAAATCGACAACAGCAACACGCCAGCGCTGACTAAGTGTTCCATAGCCATAGACGGCCACTGTCATGGCCCTACCGCCAGGCTCCGTGACGAGACCCGTGAATACAACTGTTTCATCCTCCATCGACATGGCTGAGGAGGATAGTAGGGTCTCTTGTTGAGAGGCGAATGTCGACGTGACAGTAGACGGCGTCGCTGTCGTCGTCAACGAAGGCGACGATTTGCTTGTGAAGTAGGAACTGTGATGTTTAGTAGAAGGCGTGAGGGGTATGTTGTGCCAACATCGACCACCATCTGTACTGAAGCGCAGAATATCTACCCAAAGTGTGTCTGCAGGCACTGCAACTATCAGACCTCCTCTATTGGCGATTTGGTAGTGATGCGGGCCATCTAGACCCTGTAAGGACAGTAATGTGCATCAATAGAAGCTATAAAAGCGTTTTCAGCTATTATAACCGACACATTACAAGTCTAGGTTTGAGTTGGCTGTGGTACATAGCATTCAGTTAATCGTCCGCATTGTACTTTCTGTCAGTCACACAGTTCTACGAATGACAACCTGCGTGAGAACAAGCAAAACGCGCAGATTCAAATCTCATGCTTGAGTTTCATTAAAAAAGTCGATAGATTCAATATCTGGTAATATTTACTTACCCCGAGGAAGTGTGTTACCATTTTCAGGATAATTCGCGTTGGAATATAGATCGTCGTTAATACCATCAGGAGTAGTTTAAAAAAATTAGGGGTATGCTTACGAAATGAGGACAACACCCACACAAGCATCTCAGCTATACCAGTCTCAAAGACATTTTACTGACTAACCTCAGCACCTGCATTAAAGCTGAGTGCAGGTTGGCTGTGCGTGGTGATTTGGGCAGGCTAATAGAAAAACAGGAACCTGTTCAAATATTTAATTATATGGAAAATTAAGATGTGAATACGACTGATGTTTGCGAGCTACGGCGCCTGAAAAACGAAGATGCCAGCAGAACCCTACCGCCAACCCACCGAGCACTCGCTTTTGCTTAAGGACCCAGATTAGTCTCTCTTGCTAACATCAGCCTAAATCGTTGACCTGAGCCTCGGTAACATACAACGCAATATTGTTTCAAATTCTATCCAAACCTACATTTTATACACGTTTGACTAAGGTGCATTTTGGAAGTACGACTAACCCGGAATGCTATTTCCTGGGAAATTTTACCATCACGTGCACAATGTAATCTGAATCTGAAATTTAAGGAAATGTCACAGAACCATGTATTAAATTCGTTAATTATGAAAAATGGCATGTCAGAAATGTTTTTAACAGATTTATGCGAACCAATATAGCACAAGTGCGATACTTTCTAGACAAAACGTGTTTAAATCACAAAACTAGAAAAACAGACAAGGTGCTAAGTGGAGAATCGGATGTCACCAACACACTCTTTTCTGGTCCTGGTTGAACTTCCTCGAAGAATTCAACCGAATGCCCAACAAACGAAGTGTGGGAGCCAAAACAACTGGGTATTTGGATTTTTCATAATAGTCCCAATTGAAATAGAACCTGAAGTTTACAACAACGTCAATAAGAAGGTTCCTTAACATTAGTTAAAAGGGCGTCCTGATGAAATAAGCTAAAGTGAACTCTGAATTAACACTCTGAGCTACTAGCATGTCCTTCGGGTCGTTGACGGCTCACATCCCATCGCCGGGACTCACTTCCCCGAAGCTCCTTGCATAAAATCAAAGACGAGAGTTCAGTTGCTGCTTTAAACCGACGATTGCCTATCCTACACTGCCATCGACTAAACGCAACCACCAGACATCAGATCACAATGCGATCTAACACGCAATAATCGCTGAATTGTGCAAAAAGAAAGAGTTGCTAACTTTCTGCAGACCAAGCGCACTACCAACGCCGATTTTAATAAAACTTTGTTGCTCAACAAAGTGAGGAGAGCAATGTGGTGACCTATGAAAAGTCAAGGAATACCTGGCCATCAACTATGCGGCGATTGCAAAATGCACCAGTGTGGTTCCAGGCGTCACAGAAACGCCACTGAACGTCGAACTGGTGCAAACTAATTATCAAGTACTAATCGCTAAGAAAATTTGCCGTAAATGGACTCCACTAGATGGAATATGTTCTGATTCTTCCGAACCTTCCATTGATAAGTGTCCTGTTGAATGGTTACATGACGGAACGCTTTTGTTGCCTGATTAGCTGATGGATTAAACCAAAAAATCTTGTCTTGAGTTGAAAACCTATTTTGACTAGTCAAAAGGAACACCATGACTACAAAGAGCAAGGACTTTGCATACTTGGTTGAGTAAGAGGGCATCCTCCGCTTTAACCTCCGCGTATATTTCAGTCTTCGTTACCTCTTGCCGATCAAACTCTTGGGGTTAACAAGAATGGTCATAGCGATATGCTTGTGCTTGATCGCTTTCGGGGCAAGGTGATCCAATAAACAAGCATTCAAAACCAATCCAGGGCTAATTCAATACGCTACACATCGGTGATGTGCAAGTCTTCTAGATCGTGAAAACACAGCAGACCCTACACACTCATCGTTCATTTTGAAGATCCTGCCTTTTTTTTATTAATCTGGTTCGTGGTTTTCTACTTCCCTGTGAGCATCTGAGGAAAGAGCTCCGTGGAGGCTCCAGCATCTAACTTTTTTTATCCCTTTTGATTAATGGTAGGAGTATCGCCTAGAATTTAACAATTTTTTAATAAACCTTTTGCTCCTTAGATTGGAGATATTTTTGCATAGGGTTTCTGCCGCTAACCTTCACGGCATTAAGTATTGGATATGCAACCTCCTAAGTTCATGTCGCTTTTGAGAGTTCAGACCTCCGATTGTTTGAGTTTTATCCAATTTTTTAAAACTTAATAAAGTGAGGCAAGAAACCATGTTCATCCCCTTCCTTTCAAAAACGGATATTGACTTCACTAGGGCCAACACTTAAGTTTAGTTGCATCTGTAAACAGAGTCGAAAGATCAAGTAGGGATGTAACGTGGATAGTTCGCGAATTTTTTAACTGTGCGGGTTACGAATGAGTTAACTATCAGTTCCCCCTGATAGTAAATTAGGTGTAGGATTCTAGAGGCGGACATACCTTGTGCCAGGTGTATCCACCGTCCGTCGAGATGAACACATCAGCGGGGGTAGTTTTTAGGTGAGTTGCAACGTGTCCATGAACTGCAATCAGTCCACGAGCCGTTGAAGTAGCCAATGGAGGGGAGGCGACAACGCGGTTGCGAAGGCTGAATTGGTTGCTCACCTGCAATCCACACACCTGGACAAAAAAACGAAGAAAACGGAGTCTGTGTATTAACGACTGCAGCTGCCTACACAAACTACTGTCTTATTCACATGCCAAATGTTATGACCGAGCATTGATTGCACACAGTTTACAACCACAGATTTCAACTTCACTTTGCTAATGTTCGTCAAAATTATTTTTTAATTAGGGATTTGGGAATTGTGTAACACAGTTTTTGTTAAACTGGTCAACTGTACGAGACATCTTAATGGAGAAAAGGATGAATAAAAAACCCGAGGAAGACACAAGCGACCTAATCAAACAAAATCTAATTGTTTCCACCAATTTGTGATGTCTTCATTATAATGCATACAATTGCTTAGAGTAGTTGAACGGATGGACTGGGATAGGCAGCATGAATTTACCAGCCACGAAAAACTCCCTTATTGCATAAACTAAAGGCCTGTAACGTCCCTCACCCCACCTAAAACCACGTGAAATGGATGCAAATTTGCCCGACCTCGCTTCACAGTTTCACTCGAAAAATTAGTCCTTAAAAATGAGTCAAAGTCAAGCCACCTCTCGGTATCCAGCTGAGCAGCTAAACACGTTCAAGTCGACCTCTATTCTTCATCTCCGAAACCAAAAAAGCAGACAATCTGGAAGTCCGGTTTCCCCGAAAAAGTAGCGTAGAAATTTAGTCCCTAGCCGCCACATCGTTTACTCCATACTAAGATGGGCTACTTTATAATGCAGCTATTCTTAGAGATAAGAACTGTTCCAATAATAAAAATGTCTTTCGCGATGTTTGGTACCACAACACAAGATCGCCTCTGGCGAGATGCACTTAAATATTCGGAACACAGTGAGTTGTTTTGCGCCGTTCGTTGGGTTAACCACTAACTAGGTTCATGTTTTCAAAGTACTGCAAAGTGATTGGATCGCATTCCGGAGTTTTTGGTTCAAGAATGTCCAGGGAACCAAACGGGCGCATTAATAATTACGTTAACTGTGGAGAAACTTATTTGGGACTTAATCCAACAAGAAATATAAAACTCGCGGTACCACTCTACTAACTAACCCTCACAAAGAGATCGAATTTCTAAGCGCTCCCATCCAAAATTAGCCCAAGTATTTAGTTTTCAACAGAAATAAGCAATTGAAAATCAATTACATTAAAAAAATAAGGCGCGTTTTTCGGGAAAACTTTGGAAATTAATATTTGCCCAAATGGAAAAGCAGTTTTATTACCTAAAAACTGACATCCCTTGACATCAAAAGTAACCTAAATTGTAAATTATTTGTCACTCAGGAATACGCCGTACCTCAGCACACATCGAAACAAGCAGATCATTTTCAAAATAGATGATGGAAAAAGTCATCATGCACGGATTTGAATGTCACAGAACAGCACTTCTAGTCATTAATTAAAATACACAAGTGGTGAAAAAACCTTACAGCAACAAAATCTCAAGATGACTTAGAAATAGCAAAGTGCAGTTCAGTAACAGGAGCCATTCACACACAACTGGATTGCGTGATTGTCGTTCTTCTTCAAAAAGGGCAAAGTTGACTATAAAAATCAAACAGCCGAATTGTTTGGCAGCCAACCGGATTGTTAGCACATATATTTCGCTTCTTCTCAACCACTAAGTACGGAGTTAATGTTGAGTTTTCATGGAGGCTACACGAGACTGCAGTGATTTATAACCTTCACTCTACCTCCTTTTACTGAAAGATAAACAATAATAGTCTTGTTATTTATATCAGTTTCATGATTATAACTCGTGGTAAAAGAATCGCAAACTTACCGAACAATGCCACCTGAAATTGATTTCCTTTTCAAAAATCGGTGTTACGGCAGAATTTTTCATGTTTTCCCTAGTAGTATTCCACATTGTTTGCAAACCTTTAACCCTATGTAATTAACCCAAACCTGCGTAAAAAAGGTTATGCCTAAAATATTGTTAAAAGGCGAACTCTGGAGAAAAACACCACACTTACAAACGGGGTTGAATGAGAAGTCAGCATTAGGAAGGCCATCCACAACCCGCTAACTCAGTGTAGATGCGCGTGGCAATACCAACAATGGAGTGGTGTCGTAAAAGACTGTGTAAACAAGACGGTGAGGTGAATTCTAGGTAGTTGTTTGAGAAAATATATATATGGAGTTCAACAGAGATCGCGAATCTGAAATAACCGCAGACGCTTAGGCCTATAGATACGGTGATTGTTGGTTCTGTAGTGAATTCATGAACTTCGATACAAGGATAGACGCTAACTTCATCAAAAAACTTGATTTTTTCGCAATTTCTTAACTACATAATTCTGCACTTAACTAATAGTCAAGTTAAGACTTTTGTACTGATACGTAGGGCTACACAGATTTACCAAAAACCTTAAAAAATTTTGGTCAGAATTCCATACTTGGAGAGCCGTTTCAGTTCTGAAGTTTTAACAGTAGTTTTTGACCATTAACATCGTATTAACTAGAATTCAATACACAATGGGCTCAATGGCACAACTGACCATACGCAGTGCTCCAAATTACTGCCAACCGGTATTTAAATAAGATATTAACAAATTTTAGATTGAAGGCGAATACCCGAACGCAAACACATATACACTGATAAAGTGCGGGCGGAAGGAACGATATTCTTCGGCGTACTTGATAACGTGTCACTGACCGCCACACAAACAACATAGACGGAAGTGAAGCAAAAGACAATTTTCACCACCCAATCATCAAAAAATCCCGCGATTGAAATGACTAACTTGGGTGATTCCACACAGCCAATAGGCAGCTTATCTGCTCCCACGCCGTCTGTGAATGATTCATGCGCGTCTTCTGGGTGGACATGGGTCCAGTCTCCACATACCGGGTTAATTGCCCTCTGCCGTGCACAACTATGCCAATTAGTGAGGGCTGAAGCCATGACAATTAGTAGGGTGATTCCAAGGAAGTTCGAATCCACCTGAATAAACTAAGGTTGCTAATTAACAGTTCGAAAAATCCCTGGCTTTATAAGCGAAAAGGACAAGAAGGGATCTTAAGGCTTGACAGACTTCAGTGACACTTATTTTGTAACATAAGACGCAAAAGCACTTTGAAATTAATTGGACGATGAGTTATCTCCCTGGCATGGATTTGTTCTCGAAGTTCACATATGAAGCAATCAGCAAATTTCGGAGAAACTGAGTCAGCGTCAGTCTGTGTGCCTTGATATTAGAAAATTAGAAGGCCCCGAGCCAAACTAGTTCATTGGCTTGAAGGCCTACCTACGGGCTGTCTACAATCCCAATGTAGAGTACTTCAAGTAAATCTATTCATGAATTTAACAATCAGTAGGCATGAAACAAGAAGTAAGATATTGGATATGAGAAGTACCGTAGAACTCCTTCATAGAAGTGCTGAACCATGGATAGCAACACACTTCCAATTTTTATTGGCAGATATAAAATTTAGGATCACTTGAACGCTTAAGTCTTGAAAGCAGAGTTTACGCCACTGCTATACATAAAGTACACCGACCATGTTGTAGTTTAATATACATGAATAAGCATTCGCTTTCCGCACACATAATTATATTAAAAACGTTTTTTTACGCATTACTAATGTTAATAGAAGTATTTGGAGTTTGGAGAAAATGCCAGGGAAATCTACAATTAGGGAATGGGTTTTCTTCCATTAACTATAAACCCTTAAGTGTACCTCTAAGCACTGTTTGATGGATCCACCAATAGACTAACGTCGACTTGGTTGCGGGTGTTTGAAAGGCACCAACCAAATGTATCACCTTAATTTACAACGAGTATATATTTACCGAGAAGCTACTGGAATATTGAGACTTTTAAAACAGGACCTGGGTCTGAACAGGGAAAAAGTCGGTTCTGACGGTCACTTACACATGCTTCGTTTTCGGCAGTAATGTTACATAAATTGAATAATTTAAAGCATCAATATATGTTAACTGTAGACTGTTCATGGCCAAGAACAATAAATCATGCAAAACACACATGTGTGCCCCAACACAGCCAAACGACCACATACCCTAACTGCAGAACCAAGCAGCCGTAGTGGTGAGAGGACCTAATATCCACGACCCCAAACAGACGTAGCACGTCCTGTAGAAAAACTACTAAATGCATTTTAACTAATGGCTTTACCATACTGTTTTTGCAGTTCAAACTTTTTTGGTGGCAAACAATTGACGCACTATTTGAAGCTACGCGAGCCAAAGCCAAAAAGGTATATGGAAATCGAAGTTATCGGTAGACAACAACCATTGGAAATCCGACACGGAATACTTGAGGGCGCACTCCAAATATATTTGCCTGGTAAGGTGGCACTAAGAAAAAGTCCCAGGCCTTGGTGATGCCCCCTCGGCGAGACCCAGCCAAATGCTCAAGCACACTTGCCTTCTCACCAGAGCATCAGCTCCACTCCGCAGCAGGAAAGGACTTTGCCGGGTATTCGAACAAGCTGTTCAAAACACTGAACAGAGATTAGGAACGCTGCATTGTCGCTTTATGAAAACCCCTTACCAAATAGGTTTCAAACGAGGTAGATAGGCAAACTCAAAAAAGACAGCCAGAAACCACGTTCCGAAACTTATTTTGCGCAAAAAGGAGTGGGATTGTTAACATGACCAGACGGTCTACTAGTTGGCCAATGATTGGCTAAAAACAGTGAAAAACCGATTTGCAAATTTAAAATCTGGAGGATTTGAAGTGTTCAATGCGGCAGTGTAAGGTTTAATGTGAGTAATTAGTTGTTTGCTGAATTCCAAATTTGAAGTTGGCCTCCAGTGGAATTAATGCAAATACCTTGGGATTAATACTGATGTCAACTTTAGATGGCATGGCAATACAAGCTGATGTTCGAAAAAATCCCCTTAACAGTGTTTCAGACAAAAGTCTAGAAAATACACAATTTTCACCTAAAAAGTCAAACATCTCTATTTGTCGCATCACGTTGTTCCCGTTTTTAAACTCAAATAACATCCCATTCGTCCAATGCTCATAGGATTAGGCCCCTGAACTTCCAATGTTTTGGCAAATTTGGTACGTCATTTTGGAAGCAACTGTCATAGAGAACCTACCAAGTTGACATCTCTCACAATCTAAGTCGTGATTTAGAAAAACGAAAATTTTAGTTGAAATACACCCCTCGATTCATGAATGACTACTTGACCATCCATGGATCATAAGAATAGAAGCATGCACACACCGCTGCCAAGGTCTCTTTGGTTGCGTTGCTGTTGATTGCGTTGGTGGCCTTAAGGCGTTCGGCTGGGACTGGGTTCACCGAGCGGGCCTGTCTCTCTGCCATGTTGGCGCGTGGTGGTGGGGACTCGCACGCGAGGCCCTCGGGCACAGGCAGGGCGTGCCAGGTGGCGCCGCGGTCGTGGGTAATGACGGTTCGCAGTGTTGTATCGGGATTGAGTTGTGTTGCCAAAAATGTGCCTGGCATTGATGAAACGCGGTAGAAATCTGTCACTGGAGCGTTATTGGGATAAAAATGCCGACGCAATGATTCCGTGAACACTGTGCCTGTGCTGTCTGATACGTACAGTACACCGTGGCCAGTATCTAAAACACAAATTAATCCGTATAAGATTTACTGAGCTCTACATTTGATATTTAGCAATGGCTTAGTTGTAGGATTTATCGAACAATCTCATAAATACTTTCCTAATTAACAACTAGTGTTCGGTTGCCGGGTTACTTTATCGTTCATGTACTCATCCCAAAAAATGGTCTGTTACTTGAAAATATACACATCTGAGTACTTAGATCGAAGTACAGCATGCGAGCTGTCTTGGTAACCCGCAATACTTTATTAAGATTCTTTCTGTAAATAGCTCTAAGAAAATACTGAACTGATTGTGGTTAATTTCAACAACGGCGGGGTAGTAATAACGCCAAAACTAGTTTTCGCGGACACACTTCTACACGAAAACTGGTTTTTATGCAAATTACTATTCGATAAGATTACAAGCGGTCGATTGGTTATGGCCAAGTCATTACAGCACACACACACACACATAAGGCTTTGTCGTGAACGTAGACCGCAAACCAAAAAGTGGGCTTATCAGAAGAGCAACACCGATAGTAGAAAACTTCGGTGTCTTGTTAAAATTTCGCAGTTTCCGGTCATGTTGTCGTAAAAAATAGTGTCAGAGAGGGGTCAAAACGAACATGGCCAATGCTAAGAGCGCAGATCTCTTCTGCTTAAATAAAGGATATTTTGCTAATCAGGACAGGCGGTGGTAGTTTTTTTCCCCAAGGTAAACTATCTTATGCGCCTCTTTTATGAATGAGAAAAAAATTAATTAAGAAAGCTTAGTTTTAACTCCCTCTATGCCTTTTACACGCAGCCACCTTTCTGTAGAAGACCTAATCCATATCTTCAATCTGCAAACGGAGGGAATATAAATAGTCTCCTCGGGGGCGTACGCGCGCAGCCATCCCAACCACTAGGCTTCTCAATGCCAAAATATTTTGTTCGACCTGCCCCGGCAACTGCCGTAACCATTTTAACACCAATTATACCTGCAACATCGCGGGCATTTTTGAAGTATCATGCCATATTCCGTGGCTCAACGAGAGTGCACTTGGAATACATCGTAAGGCCCCCAAAAGAAACCAACATCGAATCCCATGAGGGTGGCCATTCAATACTGCTGATTTTAACGATGAAAGAGAAGTGGACCCAAACTAACAGGCAAATGTCCCAAAAAGTCTATTCACACGGAAAATCGTGGTTTCAGCTTCTTCTTGCGAAAGATCTCTTGGACACCCGCAACAGACCACGCGGCTGACTCTTCCATAGTCTCAATAAGTGGAAACCGCAGCACTCAACCACTTAAGATTTTTTCCGCGTAATTTCTTAGTTGTAAAGTGACAGTAAACGATGTGCTTGGGTATGAAAAATGAAAAAAAAACTATTGCGGTGTGATGAATATCCATACCACTGACCAGATCATAAGACAAGTAGAAATAGATTTGAGATTACAAACTTGCAGGTCGTGAAAATAAACCACTAAGAAGTTGTTGAGGGTAAAATACCCCACTGTCTTACTAAACATTACAAATTTCTTCAACCTTTTTCCCTTTTATATAAGATTCTGAGAAAAAGTTGGGACCACAATTTAATAACAGGGAATGACGGAACCAAATTTTGGGATTTGGCTGTTTTGCGTTTTAAACAAACGATACATCGGATTTCGGCATTTTTTTTTAGAAAAAGCTGTGACTTACCACCAGGCTCATCGACATGGAGAAATACGCAGTCTCTTTCTATCTCGAGCACACTGAAAAACTACAATTAGAAAATTTTTTTGAAATAGTTGAATTTCACTTGCAGTTCCCCAAGACGTACCCTTAACGCGGGCCCAGGAATAACCTTCAACTTGAAATATAAGCAAAGAAATTTATTCCGACCATGCGTTTGAAGACTATACAGCCTGTGCAATTTGTTACGAAACCAAAATGAGTGCTATTCAAAAACCAGGAACACCTACATGTGCCGCACATCGTAGAAAATAACGGATTATCTCGTACATAATTTCCCACTAACTGACCATTGAGTTTCTCTTAGTAAGCCAAAGTCCATATTAGAAATCTCTCAGCTTGCTTACACTGAGACAAATGCTCTTATATTTATGGGCAGAAACACCAAATTAAGAATTTCTTTTGTATTTTATCCCTAACAATTTCCCGCTGACAAAAAACCCTATTCAAATATTAAACTTGGTATGCTCTCCAAATTTATGCTCAGATTAGTGTAAAAATGATCATATAACGACCATTCAATATTACCCGTAACTTGTTTTGACAGGGTTAGTGTGATTAAAATTAAAAAAGGGTTGTATTACATTCAGTTGAATTTTATTGCCAGGACTAGTGTTGAGGTGATCATGTTGAGTTTTCGCTGAATGTTTGTGTAACTAACCTCTCTTTCTTCGCTTGATATATCAGACCTTTTCAACATACTTTTTGCAGCTTCATCGCTTGTAAATTCAACAGATTAAGCGTGTTTCTTTTGGGGGGGGGGGGCCAAGCAAATCCAGTTAGGCTCCAGCATTAAGTATATCAGTGACACACTAATAACATCTTTAGATTTAATTAAATTGTCAAGTTTAAAGGTTTCAAAGTGTGTACCACAATCATCAAGTTAAAAAATACATACGAGATAAAATTTTCGTGCTGTAGCTCCCACTGACTGATAACCATTTAAAATAAAACATACCTAGTTAAAGCTTAGCAAATAAGTTGATGTTTTCCAGGACAAACTCACTTCAATTTGGACAGATTAGTGGCTAAATAGATGTGATCAATCCTACCAATTTAGATGCCTACAAATTTGAATTTGATGACCTGAATGTTGGTGAACAAGGAAGCAAATTCAAAACACTGCATTACAAGCAAAGTCATGTCTAATATACTGTGTCGCGCATTTCTGCACGAGTACTTTAACGGCAACATCAATTTTTGCATGCGACAACTGGAATATTCAACAGTCTACTGCAAAGTGAATAACTGAAAAAAGAATGATAAGTCATATCTGAAACCTACTTTTTTTCAAAACTGTTTCAGGTTGAACTTTACAATTTGATATGAAGTTTTTTAACGGACAAAGGAACTTCGGACATCATTAAATCTCCTCAAGATCAAATTAGCAACAGGATTTAGAATTTCTGTGACTAACAATGGTTGTGTTCGCACTTACGTTTGACAATCTTCATTCCTAATGTACATGATAACCATTAACATTTAAAGTCATAAAAATAGTATTTAAAAAAACAGTCTTACCCTATCAGAAAAAACAGTTGGCAAATAGACCTGTCGAAAATTATTGCCGCCATCATCCGAAACGCTCAGTCTAAGAGTACCCTTTTCTTTGTCTATAAAGTGCGAGGCGTAAAGGAAGCGTCCAGATGGTTCATATTGGGAATTAGTCCCATCTTCGTCAATGTCAACGTCACTTCGCAAAGCTTCAGGAGCCCAAATTTTCCGAACATCTGACAAAATCTGCGTCCATGTTTCTCCTCCATCCACCGATTTCGAAAGTGTAAACGCGTTTCGGTTTGCATTGGCTAGGATAAAAGACAAATATTGATGCAAACCAGTGGTCTGAAACATATTACATTTGACCCTTGATCGTTAGCAAACGAAAGCACCACATGACTTTTTATTTCTCATGGTTCAAGGAACGAGATTTCTTTCTCTTAAGCACTGTAATCAGATTCCAATGTATTCGAATGTTTACATTAAAAAACTGGATTAGGGGAGATGAAAGAACTGTACACCTATTTAAAAAAATGAGAGAGCGTCAAACTATTTTGATTCTACCTACATTTTACCTAAATGGTGATATTTATGAAAACCAGCCCAAAAATCGGGGTAACCATCCCGTGCTTGAGTACAAGAAACATTGAAATGAAGAAATAGCTGTGCTATACTCAGAATGTTACCTCGGTTCTTTTAAACAGTGGATTATTTTCCGTGACAGCCAGCAACATATTTAATGAATCTTTGAATTTTTCATAAATGTAGTCATAGAAAAAGCAGGTGCCCAAAGCTTACTTTTTGTGCTTGCACCATGAAGGGCGTAGATGGTATTTTTACTATCGACCGTGAAGCCCGACCAGAAATATTCCTGAACGTCATGTTGTGCCGTTTTCCAAATCAAACCACCATCCTCTGAAACAAAAAGAGTCTTTATCCATAGTCGGAAGAGGAGAGCATAATTTACCCTTGTGTGTTTATCCATTGTAAGGACAAGTTTTGACTCTGAATCACGAGGAGAAAATTTAAGCTTTCCATTTAAAATAAACGGCAATATTGATTTCGTCCAGCTGTTTCCCGAATCAGGGGTCGAATAAATAAGCGAGTTATTTCTGCTAGTGATGTCATGACAAATAATATAAATCTTTTCTAAATTCCATCACTTTATCACTAGGTGGCCTACTTTTCTCATTCCATGAAGAATTTTCCTGGTTTGAAGACCGTTCTCTCTTTTGATGTAAATATTTTCTCCAAGGTTTGCAGTTATTCTATCGAATGTTTTCCCATTGTCAATGCTAAAAGGTATCTAAATGAATACTTTCCTTACCTTCGATAGATATCCGATGGTTGACCAAGACCCTGGTCACTTTCACTCATCGTAACCAAAATAATTACCTATTATGAAAATAAAAAAAGGATCTGAAATACTCCAATTTCATCACCAGCCCAGGTCAATTGGATAGTCTCTTTTGTGTCGTTCTTGAAGTAATACTTCAAAAATATTTATGAAATATCAACCATACAAAATCAGCAGACCGGCCACTTTTTGTAAAATTTGAAAACATCTCCTGCTGTATTTTACATTTGTCCGAAGACACTGTTAAATCAACCGGAGCCAACAGCAGCACGGCCGCAAATATTAGAGAGAATCCATTTTTCATCATGCAAACGCCCAACTTCTTCAAAAGCGCACGAACTACGATCTAGGTTAAAGTCATTAGTTAAAACATACTTTCTTTCTTAATTTAAAAAAATTGGGTAATGTTCCTCCTTAATTTTTTACTTTGAATGTATTTTTAAAGTTTCAAATGCAGAGATACTAATTGCAACATTCTCAGCTTAAACAATATTGAATTTAGGGAATATATACCCGGAAATTGTTTCAAAAATCTAACTTTATTGTAAGGAATAAAGTAAATAGGCTGAGTTTCATAAAACTAATTAGCTAATGTTTTTGGGCGTTAGCATACATGTATATTTTAAGCTCTAATTCAATTAAAAAATTTTCACATCTCACGACTTGAATGAAAAATATTTAAATGGGTCTAGATCCTACTTCTGGAGTCGTGAATAATGCCAGCAGAATGCAAACCCAGTTTTTATCTAGATTTTGAATATTGCTAGAACTTTTACATTACAATACTAGCTAAGTAAATGTAAGTGCAGCATACAAATGATAAGCCGACAGGCAGACCGCTTATCGCGTCATCCATCCGGTGAGCTCTCTTCGGTTTTCCCGTCTCGGACCTGCAAAATTTATGCTATCTTCTCGTGCTTAGAGAAATTCCTTAATTTACGGCATAGTCTATTTTTATTTTGCAGCCATCAATGGTCAATTATCCTGTGATTCTTTGGCCATTTTCCCTCGAATAGCAGATCTATTTTGCGCAGAGAAGATACGTTGAGGCCATTGTTTGCATTCGTCTCCTATTTCTTTCAAAAAAATCCAAATTCGCAATTTAAAGCATACTCTTAGCTTTTAATTAATTCTAAAGTTGTGTCCTAGGTTTTTCTTTTGTTTCTTAGGTTCAATCGTGATATTTTGGTAACAGTTTGATTTACAAGACTGAATGATCGATACGCTCTTCAACACAGATTTGGGTTATCTTTGTTGCATGGTTAGGAAAAGAAAAAAATTAATTTTATAGTGTGTTATTGGATTGCCACGATTTTTGTATGTACTATGCAGGTGCGTAAAAGCAGTATTGAACCCGATAAGAAATACGAAGAAAAAATAGGCCTTCAAAAATAATTTCAGGATTGCGTGTCCATGTTAGTTTCTGTAAAAGTTCATTTCCATTGTCGGCATTTAAGGTAGCTGGGTTTGCTCTGTAAGAGTTCGTACATAAATTCACCATAAATTGTTCCACCCTGTTGTCTCTCACAAAAATAATGTGAGGCAGCATTTAGGTAACTAACTTCATACTGGCCTGCCATTGTTTCCGTTTTTTTGCAATGCCCCCATTTCTCCTATACAATCCCTTATCTTTCGTCAAGCCGAAGGGTTTTTGAGTCAGTCACAGAATACGGGGCACCGTACAAGCGGGTGTAACCCATTCGCTCCACATACTAAGTTCCTTACTGGCTAATCTGGATATCCATTTTGCATACCTAAACTAATCGTTTCCATATTTAAGTCACCTTAGTCTCGGGCACCATAAGGCTGTACTCGGCAGTTTGAAATATCCGCGACTCAATCCTCCCACTCTTTTGCCCTGTGACAGATAGCTGGACCTAGTGTTCTGTCCACCCTTGTACAAAATATCCCTCCCCATTCAATTACAGACTACTCCTCACTTTACACTCGTAATGGTATTCATCGTGTTCATTTTACTAAAGTGGTCTCTCAGCGATATTGAACTGCACACAATTATGAGACAGTGAGAATTTTTTATGAAAATTAGTGAAAATCGAAAAAACTAGAAGAATGATGGGCATATCGATGTCTTTAAATGGAAATATTTTTTTAAGAAAAGCGATGCGAAATAAAAAAAAGGAAAACAATATCGGGAGAAGACAACAAAATCTAATAAATGAATCCCTAAACCAACTCATTATAGTAGTTCCGAGCGAGGATTTACCACAATTCACGTGTTCACTTACCATAAGGCATACGTGAGCTATTTGATTAGACAGATATCAGCCATAAAAAATCCATACTTATCGAGAAAGCATAAATTCGATCGATCCAATTTGACTTGAAGGGGTACTTATCGTGCAAAGAAGATCAATCTAAGGAGCCCCAAAACCGGTTCTATGCAAACAGTCGTTTTCGCAAGCGAATCGCCCAAAACATTAGAATAGTTATACGGCTTGGATGGTCGTCAATTATGATAAGCGCTAAAATTTTTAGGCTGTGTATTGGTCGCCTATACAGCATCCGGTCTTCAGGACAATGTTCCTATTCATAAGTCGAAACACGTTGGTAGAAGGTAACCCCACGCTGGATTCAGTCTATTGACAAACTGTGCTCGTTTGGAGTTAAGCTTATTCTAATTAAAAACCAACATCCCGTAATTCAATGTAGTTCAACAGATTTTCGGAGTTACAAAGATTAACTTCTTGAAGTCAAACCATTTGTAGTTGCTTGAAGTTAATATGCAATGCTATTCCTAGTAACTGGTTGGAGAAAGTAAGCATTATTCTTCAATTCGTTATAAGACTGGTTTCCTTCAGTAACGTGAAACTGAAACAACTTATGGACAGAAATGGGAACATTTCTGGTCATAAAATGCTTGTTTTATTTAAATCACCTTTTTAGGAACATGCTCACAGAAATTTTCAAACATTTCCATCGAGGAATCGGTATCCTTAAGAATATCTTTTCAAGAATTTGACAACTTTTTATTTCTATTATCATGCGTGTTTAAGCATACCATTTTGTGCATTCATCTGGGCCTTTCCTTTCCTATCGAATCACTCATTTTTGAGTGTACTGTCATTCTGAATTTCACTCAAGTCAGCCCACGCCAAATATTTGTGGTCTTATCTGAACGTGCAATTGGCCCTTGAGCTAGAACAGTGTAAAGCTCTCTTAACGAGGTCCTGTATTGTTAGACTTTGGGAAAGCGGTGACTCATCCGTGTTCCAGTTCGCGTGCAAGGCAGGGACTTCGATTATTTGTATTCAGAGTTCTGCATCTGCACCTAATACCAAGTACATTATTTTCTTGATAGTTATGGGTTGGATTTTTTGAGTTAGAAAGCCCAGATAGCAGGCTGTTGAACTTATATTACCCGTGAATTTCAGATCGCCATAGTTTTTTTCGGTTAACACTGTTCTTACATCATTGGCTTTTGCATTTATTTGGGACACATGTTTGGGAACCGAATTCCATGATCACCATAGAACATTTAGTTCGCTGCGATGCACGACCTTTCAGATAAAATATCGTTTTAGAATAATTATTTTCGACCTTGGGATAATGCCCGCTGCAATAGTTGTGGTCCTTTTGAAGAACCGACTCTATTGAAAATTTTTACATTCTTTTCAATCAAGGTACGTAACATAAAGTCAAAATCAGGACTGTTTAAAGTCAAATAGCGTCCTTGGATGAATTTATTGCCTTGGTACTTTGCCATGTAAAGTTTCTCATGCCACTGACAGACTTCCTCGTGTCGGATTCTACGTCGATGTTTTAGAAAGTGAATTAAGTATCGTGGTTTGTGTTGGCTTATTTTCTTCCTCAGTGGATCTGGTTTTTCTTATGGACGCTAAATCGAAAGCCAGTAGAAATCAACACTGCGGATCATGGTCCCTGTGCAAACCGTTAATACGACATCAGTAGCGCAGTGATCTTTCATAAGGTCGATGTGCATGTTTCAATTTTCTGTCGTAATATGGTAAAGCAATTTCGAGACTGTTGAAGTAGGTAGTGCACTCTGTGGAGTTAAGTTCCAACTTGAAGTGAATTGTGTTGATTCACGTCCAATAACCCGGTCATTGCAGCCTCGCACACACATGTCTCCCTTTTCACGCCGTGCCCCTCAGTCACGCGGAGCCGCCTGCTCGTTCACCCCTTTGCATGTACCACCACTACGTGCTTTATGCATGTGACCATTCAGACTGTATTTTTACTAGTCCATTCAACTCGCCAGTCCTGTTTGTCCTCGAGGATACCAGGGTAGATTCAACACGGTGGCCGCTGGGTGGTTTAAGCTAACAGGCCGGAGCCTTCAACAAACCTAATTCCTCCTCTGAGTTCAAGGATCGTCTAACAAGGTCTTCGGTAAAAACACCCTGATCACACCGTCTGTCATCTTATTGCTAATGATAATAAATTCCTTTTGGTGACTGATTAGATTCATTTTTCTTCACCTGCCTTCTAGTCAGATAGGTGGTTCAAACAAAGCATAAGTAGTTGCTGCTCAAGGGAAGCCAGATTCCCAACCTGCACAAATCCAGGATCTTCTTGCATTGATTAACCTACGATGAAATCCAGCAGGAATTAATCTGTTGGCTTGAGCCGAGTGACCGTGTCTAGAT